CACGCATGTGTAAGTGCACACGTACGCACACACGCACGTGTACGTGCACACGCACGCACGCATGTGTAAGTGCACACGTACGCACACACGCACGTGTACGTGCACACGCACGCACGCATGTGTAAGTGCACACGTACGCACACAAGCACGTGTACGTGCACACGCACTCACACACGCACGCACGCACGCATGTGTATGTGTACACGCACGCACGCTCAAGAATTCATCGATTTTTGTCACAAATGACCCGGTGACCTGTGACGTCATACAACCCCTTGGCTAACTACGAACTGGCTTATTGCTTTAGTTAGGGTTAGGGTCAGGGTCAGGGTCAGGGTTGGAGTTAGGGTTAGGCTTAGGCTCGTACCAAGACAGCGGTGTACAACGCCTGCATTGTCAGCACTCTTCTCTATGGAAGTGAGAACTGAACATCATATTCCAAACAAGAGAAGACGTTGAACAGCTTCTATATGCGCTGCCTTCGTCGCACCCTCGGGATCTCCTGGAGAGATAAAAGTGCAAAACACGGAAGTCTTCTACGGTGCAAAACTCCCCACCATATATACGATGTTCAGACAACGCAGGCTGCGCTGGATTGGCCACGTCAATTGGATGGAGGATGGCCGCATCCTCTATCGTGAACTTGCATCCGGGAAGAGGACTGTTGTCCGCCCCCAGCTGCGACACAAGGATGTCTGCAAGCGCGAGATGAGAGCACTGGACATCAACACTGAGTAATGGGAGGAAGCAGCAGATGACCGCACTTGAGGGCGAGGCATTCTCCATCAGCAGCTTAGGGAGGGTGAAGAAAGGCTCCTGGGTCTGGCCGATGAGAAAAGGGCTCGACGTAACACCGCAAACTGCCCCCCAGAGACAAATCATATATGTGGCCGTTGCGGCAGAGACTGCCATTTCCGCATAGGTCTCATCAGCCATAGCCGAAGCTGTAGCACAACAAACATCTAGGGCGCATCATCCATGGTCGACTCTCGACCGACGGAGGCCTACTACTATTATGTGCTGGGATTACACTATTAACATTCTGGTGAAAAGTTGAATGAATTGATCAACTCTTCAACATGTCTACCGAAAGTCGGCAGAGTAAACAGAAAAGTTGAGAAATTATAACATGTGTTATTTTGCCAACTTTTGGTCAGCGAGTTGATCAAGTATTTGCTACTCAGCGACTCTGATAATCGCAATCAGGGGGTCACGTCCCTCCATCCAAGAGGAGAGCGTGTTTTTGCTATTGGCACCACATGTACACTCGCGCCAACTAGAATGATTGTCCCAAAGAGGGACTAATAATATCCCCCCCCCGCCGCTTCCAGCTGTTATGGTGCCTGCGATATGTGAGAGCATGACTGGTGACGCTCATCTGGAAGCGCGGCAATTGTATGGCAAAGCAGGTGGTATTAATGAACGAACGTCGCAGGGCCTGTGGCTGTATACGGCTGGTTACTATAGACACTTATGACGCAGTAGTGGCTGGGCAGGTACATATGAAATCAACAAACAGATGGCAGGAGCATGTCACATATAAGAACATGGCCGTTATGTGCACTTATCTGAAGGGGACGATCGTTTGGCAAACAGCTGGCACGAATTAAGGCGGCGGCGTTCCGAAAATGTCGGACCCACAAAATCCATCCCAGGTCGACAACTACCTTGGGTACTGATGACGTGTACCAAATATGGTTGAAATCAGTCCAGTACTTTTCAAGGAGATCTGCGCGAAAGGCTGGTGTAAGACAGACAGACAGACAGACAGACAGGATGATTCCAGTATACCCCCCCCCCCCCCCCCCCCCCCTTCCCCTAACTTCCTTGGCGGGGGTATAATAAGCCAGTTCGTAATTACAGTCTGCGCATGCGCGAACCTTGCCACCAATTCTTCCGGGTTAGGCCATTCGTGAAAAACATTTCCTATTTCGACCGTACAGTACACATACGCATGCATCTGTGTCGTTGGAATGCTACAGTCTTCATGTGTGCACGTACACGTGCGTGCGTACGTGCGTGTGCACGTACACCTGCGGGCGTACGTGCGTGTGCGTGCGCGTACACGTGCGTGCGCGTACACGTGCGTGCGTGCGTCCGTGCGCACGTTCACGTTCGTTCGTGCGTGCGTGTGCACGTACACCTGCGTGCGTGCGTGTGTGCGGGCGTGCGTGCGTGTGCACGTACATGTGCGTGCGTGCGTGCGTGCGTGCGTGTGCACGTACACGTGCGTGCCTGTGCACGTACACCGAATACATGTACATATACATATTGAACCGAGAGCGCACGCCGCACTCGAGATTTCATCGATTTTTGTCACAAATGAGCCGGTGACCTAATGTTGAAATGTTGAAACGTTTGCCGACTCGCGGTCGACATAATAACGTAAACACTTTGAACATCTGATAGAAAGATTGATAGGACGTTGAAATGTTTATCAACTCGTCGACTTTTCCATAACCCAGCTTTACACTCTGTTGGTCTTGATTATTGTTTGTTTTCTACGACTGATGGTACCAGATGCGTTACAATCGGTGCCGTGACAATATGATTGCTTGAAAAAGCGTTGACCTGACCTGACCTCACCTCACCTGACACAATATACCGTGGCTTGGTACGAAACGGCCCAACCTGATCAGCACAAGATGACCTTAGCTGACCTGTGGCGACACAATGTAACACGACCCGACCTCACATGACATCACCAAAGCACAACGCAACACACATGAATACCAAAAAATATAACACGGCACGTCACGACATGACACGACACCGTCGACACGACACAACATAACAGAGCATAGTGTATATCTCTATCGCTATCACTATATCTATCTCTGTCGCGATCTCTATCTCTATCTTTATCTCTATTTCAGCTCTATTATATGTCTAGCTCTCTCATACACACGCTCTCTTTCTCTCTCGCTGTGTGCGCGTGTGCGTCTGTGTGTGTGCATGTGCGTGTATGTGTGCGTGAGCGCGTTTTATGATGCGCATAATATTACTCTCATATTAGGACACTCTGGTCTTGTGGCCAATTGACATCGACGCGTTTTATGGTGTGTACTCATTCATCATAGATGGTAGGATGTACATCAGTGTGCTATATACACTGTAGCAGGAGCTAACTATACCTATAATCATAACAACCGTAACGTTGTAATAAACGATAAACTCCACTGCAGTGTGATCGCCCACAGTTGTATGTGCATATATCAATACTACTAAAAAAACTAACTTTGTCTATGCATTCCGCCATTTATTGATTTCGGACCCCCAAACTTGCTGTTAGTTTATCATCCTGAGGGTGTACTCAGCACATTTAAAAGTCTACACTAAAAACTAATATCTCAACGCAAGAATGTTGGGATTCTGCATTTCATTTGGCATGTTCTGCGATAGCGCGCATGTACGTTCACTGGCAGTGCGTTACGCCAGAAATGGCTTCGCCTTTGATCTCAGGTGTTAGCTGGTTTCATAACAGTGCTGTATATCCAGAAGCAATTTTGTAATCCTAGCTAAATACCATTTCTTCATCACAACCTCAGCGTGGATGAATGGTAGAGTGCTCGTCTCGCATGCTGAAGGTCGCGATTACCACAACTTGGCAATAACATTTTGGGAATAACATCTGCTAGCACCAGAGTTATTAGCAAACGAGTATCGACAATTTTATTAAACATTTTTATAAAATGTTTTCCCCAGATCATACAATCTGATATTCAGCATAGTTTAAATTCGAAAATTTTTACTTTAATCAATATTCTTTATAGTGTTTCTTACAGTAATATGAAACGTGTCGCATCATTACTAACTACACTGCTGTAAAACATGGGCCTGAACTGATATTTATACTCAACCCAATCATACATTGGTTATGTGTCAGAGCTATTGTATAGTGCTGACACCTACCGTTGATGTACTAGCAGTAATTTGTATTTCTAAACTTGAACGATTTTATTTTGTTCGTATATTGTAATATAATTTGTATTCGGTGACAATAATTTGCGTTTACTGGTGGTGTCAAGAATAAAGGCATTACAATGTATATGATTGTATTGAGTGGTATTATGGTTTTTGGAAAAACAATTCTATGAACAAAGATTTGTGCACTGATGCACTGATAAACATATGATTACAATATAATCACGAAAATGAGCATCAAATGCTAAAGAAAAACAATGAATATATATTTATAATTATATTATAATATTTTATATATATGTAACCGGTTGGGAATCGGGTATGCTTGCCGTCGATAGGTGGCAGCACGTGATTGTCACGGGCGGGAAGCGTCTATTTTTTCCGTACCGCTAATGCGTAAACGTCCTACACTACGCATGCGCTGCAGCCACACACAAGTACAAACAGTCACCCTATCCCTAAAAATACAAACAGTCACCCATATCCCTAACCCTAATCCTAACCCCAACCCTACCCCTAACACTAACTCGAAACCGACTCGGCTATCTTATATACGCGTGTCATAGTACCAAATACCGTCTATGGTGTGCTGGCGATTTTACGCATTAGCGGTACGGTAAAAATACACGCGGGCGGGAATGAGCTCCCTGATTCGCGCGCAAAGCTCACTTCGGCTGTAGGAGACAAGGGGAACGGAGCTGTGTAAAATCGGGATCAGGAGTGGAAGGACTTGGTAAGCACGACTGAAAAGGCGAGCGTTTGTGTTAGTTTGTAAGCATGTGTTTATATAGTGTTTATGTTGTATCAACTTCTCATGTAGTGTAATGACTGGAATAGTTAAGTCACTAGTCACGTTCCGGGACTCAAAATGTTAGTTTCGTTTGACGCTCCGTGTGCCGTGATTCCAGTGAAGTTATGGAACGATATAAATGATGTTGTACACAGAGAGGGAGAGAGATCGATATGAAGACATTACGATTTTGTTATGTCGCAGATGCGTACATAATTTTGTCATTTCTTGTGTCTGTCAGTGATTTCTATTATTGGGTGGCAAACGACTGGCTAACGTGTGCTTTTATTGTCCACCAGGTGTCACTACTAATGAATCTGTAGTTATTTAACATGAATAAAGTGCATGTTAATGTGTAAGCGAAATAACAGTGTGAGTATTTTTAATTAATTTCTGTTCGATGCTTATTCAGGCCTGCTGCCTATGGACGCCCTCTACTGTTGTTGGGTAATGCTATCCACCGGGCGTGGAGGGAGGTGACCGCAACGTGGCAGCACTAGTGTTGGGATTAGGGTTAGGGTTAGGGTTAGGGTTAGGGTTTTTGCATCATGATATCTGTCCCCACACCATAGATTAATTTTTGTGGATCACAATGCCTATATATAGCGCGGCGATTACATATATATTTAGTGTGAGGGTTAGTGTTGGTGGTGTTGTAGTGAGGGTTACCGTTAGGTTTAACGTTTTGAACGTCATCGTCAACGTTATCACGTGACCTCCCTCCACGCCCGGGGGATAGCAACACCCACTGTTGTTCACCACCTATATTGATCTATATTGCACCTACCTTCTGGATGCAGAGCCAGAGCCATCTAGTGACGACACATCGACTGATTTGTTAAGAGCACGGTCCTGCATGGGAAAACCGTTATGCACCGGTGTAGGTGTAGCCGGCCTGCAAAACATAACACGCGCATCCAACATTATACGAAGCATACATGAACATGAAAACTTCAAACAATGGCATTCAAAGTAGCTTGCCAAAGTAGAACCCTATTAAATTCATACTGTTATTGTACAATCTCAGAGACATATCTATAAGATATGCATAAAGTATGTTACACTATATGTTTACGAGTATACAAACATTTCAGCCGTGTTTGACTTCAACAGTTCTCTTATCACAGTATGAGGTCGGAATTGTGAAACTATACTCCAATAATTGAACTTTGTTCCATCGCCAGTGTATTGTGTTATCGCCTATCGGCTTCTTGTGTATTGTGTACATGTATTGTGTGACGTCATTAAACTTGCGTCTTCGTCATACGGCTGATCTCTCGCTTGCAAGTTTTACTTATTTTCGGTGGTGTGTTCACTTTAATATTGCGTGGGTGCAGCGTTATCGTAACCATACTCATTAAAAACATGGTGAAATAGTTGTGTTACAATTCCGCAAGCAAAATCGCCAGAGTTCCCTTTGGATACAGGAAATACTTGATCAAACCGTGAGCTGTTCGATTGATACGAAAGTGCGACGCGGGCCAGAAGCACGCGAACAGTTGGTTGTTTAACGAAGGTGGAAACGGTTAACTCGTGAGAACTGTGAGGACAAAATTTGGTGTACACATTGTCCTTGGACCGAAACTTCTCCTGCCTTGAACACGTTTGCAAATGGGGGAGGAGAAAGAGTGGATCCGCACAGAGGGGTTGAGAACACGGTGACTCGTCTGACTGACGCCGCACACGGGAGCAAAAGGTGACAATACTAGAGCTAATTTAGGCCAAGTCGCTAATTATTGCCCATAACGCCCGTAACTCTATCGTGAGGAATTCTACTTAATGGATTGTATCTGGCAAGCAATTCGCCTTCACTTTGGGTTCCAGTCTACTGGGCACATTTATTGATTTGGGTCCTTCGCCTCGAACCTAATGAGAGACCCGAGGACTCTACCAGCGAATATGCATTTGCAGAAGATCACATACTACTGCATGATTCAGCCGACCCACCAACATGGAGATAACGGAGGAGGAGAACTCACCCATCTTTGGGAGAACATCTTTTTTTTGTCGACATGGTGATTGATAGTCCGAGCTTTCCCAAGCTTGTCAAACAAAGATGGTACAAGATACCACCACCCTTTTGCGTCAATAAAACCCGAGGTGTCCAAGCATAGACTCCTCCTGGAGGAGCTCGACATCTTAGGATGCAGAGCCATGCGAGCAGCGTATGAAGCTACCCAAGCTAACCCTACGCACAGTCGGAAGTACCAACTAGCGAAAACAAGGTATGCCCTTATGCAAAGCTTCAAAATCGCCACACAAGCACTTTCTTACAAGTGCACAACTTGCCACAGCACGATTTCAAGTATAATATAGCGAGACGAGTCTCTTGCTTCGACGCATGCAGGAGAACAGAATGGTGATGAACAGTAGACCCAACATGACGACACTACCCATGCCGTTAATAGAGTGCAGATTCTGCAATCGGCCGTAAAAGACGCGTTCTACTGGCATAACGCTGTCCGTCACTATCGCAGTGGTGCACGGCAAACATGAATCATGGGGGGGCGTTCGTGACACAACATAAACGTACCAATTACAGAGACTACTCATCCTGCACCAAGCGGATGATTATCAACTCTACAAGTTAAGGCGAGACCGCTTTCAACCTGTCATGGGACGAATAGCACTTTGAAGGCTTTGTAAGTTGAAACCTTGAGACGGACATACTAGCGGAATCCCGTTCATGGAAGTGACGACATCGCTTATCGGCCTCAAACACCAGGTCATATAGCAGAATGGATCAAGTACGATATCACATGCACGACGACGTTCGCACACAAACATTGTGAGACACGCATGGTTAAGTCAACACCCACAGTAGTATTGCAGGTAGTCGCAGAGTTTCAAGCTACCCGAAGAATTGCTGAAAAGGATGTGAGTGTTGCGATCGGCCCAAGTCCGCGACCCGGTCCACGCAAGGGAGGGCCTCCCAACTTGGTTACAAGCGTATCGGAGAGTAGTATACCAACCTTTCGCAATACCGCCCACACATTGAGGCGCAATGAGCATAACTATGTATGGCCGTGAACTTTTGTTCTAGGGAGGAATTAGTACACGCCGTAGCAGCGTCTTCAAGGGTGAAGCACAGGCATCACACTGTTTTCAGCAACCCTGCGAACGTGACCTGACAATAATTCTACACGAACGTCCTGAGAGATTCAACCTCACTTTGTGAATTCACCACCTTCTTTGAATCCACAGTCGGGTAACGGCGACGTAGGGCCTTTCAAGCCATGTAATATGGCCCGTCCAACGCCCACCAAGCGCAAGGGAGGGTACCTCATTTCAAGAATCTACTCGTCAGTTTGCAATACAAGTTTGATGAGTGGAGGCCTAGGCGTGTTCGCGCTGAAGAACGTGTGTCAACGTCAATACGAAACCCTCATTATCATAAAGAAAACAAACGGAGATACCGTTTGGTAAGCTTCACGACGTTGCCGTTATAGCAACTGCGACCCCTCACTCCATGCCCGATGTGGATCCACAACTACGCAGAAGACAGTGAAGTTCTTGCTGACTGATGACCAACATTCTACAAATCGCGCGTACACAGGAAACGATGAGTAGCGCATCGTCCCACGCCATTCGGCGCGTGAAGTGTACGTAGATCGCCATGGGTTATCCGGGCCGAAACCGCACTGAAGAACATGTGTAGGTAATTTGGGACTGTACAGAGGAAGTAGTAGATAATCGGCAGACGACCTATACTGTGGGAAACCCAGAGGAGCTGTTGTTCAATTGGAGAAGTGTTGGCGGCGCTTGACAAATGCGATCTCCACTTGTCGCATCCAAGACGCGGATCGCCCCCAGAGACGACCATTCTCGGCTGATATGGATGCAGGGCACGCACGGCCAGTCTCACCGAATCGCGCTCTATCGACGATGCAACCCCCAGTGACGGTTAGTCATTGAGATCCTTCATTGGGCTACAAGGTTCTGCGCGCGTTGTCAAAGATGCATATTCTGGTCCCCTGATGGTGCTGTTGCCGGACGCGATTTCAAAGACGCAAGGGACCGAGCATTACTCGCGTCATTCCGCGGCGCTCAGATGCATTGCTTCACAGCCGTCAATGCGCCTCCAGGAACATGACAACCTTTGGATTGCACAGACGGCGCATTGCGCAAGGTGGTCCTAGGCGTACGTTATACGTACTCGTAACAACAAAACACCCTCGCAGATCTTTCGCCAAGCAGCGGAAAAACCAGGCTGTGTGGCTCCTGCGAAATAGAAGCGCTCCCATGCTGCTTCCATAAAGCATTTGCTCTCGTAAATCATCGCAGTGTGTCGAATACCTGGTGTTGACGACGAAGCATGCGTACAACAACAGAAAGCATGTCGGGAGAGTTTTCGCGAGTCCACGTGTCTCCACATTCCCTGTCAACCGCCACCGTACCATTGGCTATAAGACACGTGGTCCGGCTCATCTGCAATCTGATTTTGCCATCGCACCCGCAGATTGGAAAACCAACGGCAGATCTGCACGTCGTCACACTGATGAGACTCTGTTGTCAGAGCAGTCTCGTTTAGGGAATTTGTCGATGGTGATGCAAAAACGCATTACCAGTAATGCATGGTTGCAATCAGTCCGAAATGTCAGATCTACGCAGGACACATGCCACTTGAAAACAGGGTACACGACGGCCAAAAGTCCTAACTCAGAGACTCTAAGCGTTATCTTCAGGTTGGCATACATCTCTCGTGCCGGTTACTCGTTGTAAACGCCAGACACTTTCATGCCAATCATGACCGTATCGTCGTAGCCTCGAAGTGTTTGGCAGAGGATTGATGTCTCTGGCATATAAAGCTACGAACATACTTCAATTATCAACTAAAATGACGTGGTCATCGTCTTCTATGCTCTGGACATGGGACAAAGCTGGAGCATAGATCTCAGTTGTCAACTGTGCGGCTCTCAAAGTGACGTGCCAACAGAGGGCAAAGCGAATGTGACCGCCAATCGGTCGGTACTCTTCATTTGCCGCCATGTGTTAAAGCGTGAACACAATCATTTTGGTGGTCGGAGTGTGTTCTCTTCACAACAATGGTGGTAGAGGACGAGAAAGAAACTTGCGGAACGCACTCCTACCAGGCTTGTATTGAGCTACCCCTCTAGATGGTCCCAGCGTATAATGACAGATCCGTCTCCAGGATTTGTGTCCCTACATAACGACGACTACTCACGCTATCGTATAACCGTCGATGTGGACGCGTGAAGAAAAAAACAAAAATCCAGTAGAGAGAGGCGATACAGGAGGCTACAAATAACAACTATGCGTAGATCCACATTTCCGACTGTCTCCATCCCTAAACTCTCACCGGCACAGCTCGATTGAATTCTAGAATTACGTAGCAGGGTTCTCAGCGAATGTTGTAAAGAGGATAGTTCTCAACGTCTAGATTCAGTTGAGCTCAGACCTGAATCGAACGCAGCACTGAGCCAGATCACTAACCATAAATAGTCAGGATCCAAGGCTCCAGAGCTCCCCTTCAGTATTCCAAGCCACAGCAGTTGGAGACTCGCTCTCTGCATTGCGATCGAATAAATCAGTGCGCGGGAACAGAATACCTTTCGTTGCATTCGATGGAAAATGTGAACATCACGAAAATTGTAGGTCCAACCAGGCAGCGTATGGGTAAAAGGTCAGAGTGTTATAAGGTGGCCAGCTTCAAAATGATGATTCGAATCTGGCATCACTATCGCGAACATGATGACGACGATGAGAGAAAACGATCGGATCGGTGCAAGTGAGTGTCATCGCCCTTGCGGAACCCCACGAGTGTAAGCCCTGATATCCCTGAAGTATCTCTAGACCTTTCCCGAGCTAGAGCCATGCCGGAAAGAGCTGACTTTCTGAGTGAGTCAAGGAGACAGTGATGAAGTAGTGAAGCGTCTGTTAAACACCACCGAGAGTCAACTAAATCGTCGGCACCCATAGATTCAGAGACATGAATTTAGTGGCTAGCATATGTGCATTGTGGTGGGAGATAAATCCCGTAACTGAGTAGTTGCCCAGTGATGGCCTTTGAGTCATTTTGAGTTTATGTAATCTGGACGGACTATTTCTCGAGTAGCCGTATATTTGTCTATATACAATCATCGTAGTGTGGCAGCTAAGTGGTTCATATTGATCTTTTGTTTTGTAAGCCATCAGGTAAATGCATCTTAGCGGTTCTCCACTTGGTATTCTATAAGTCTTTCTTAAATTAACTGTAAGTTTCGGGTTATCTTCACAGTTCCCCTAACACTGACCGTATTCTTGAAAAAATATCACGCATGTATTTTTGTATTCGCTATCGCTTCTTGTGTATTGTACATGTAATTGTGTGACGTCATTAAATTGTCGTCTTCGGTCATCCGTTGATCCTCGTTGCAAGTTACTATTGCGTTTGTTCATTAATGATGGGCAGATAAGTCATATCTATCTATCGTACTACAGTGAATCTATACTCAGCTAGCAACACGTGCACAACACACAGCACACAATATAGTAATATTTCATGCTGGGCTCATTCTCTTTTTTCTCTCCCCCCCTCTCTCTACTCTCTCTCTCTCTCTCTCTCTCTCTCTCTCTCTCTCTCCTCTCTCTCCCTCTCTGTCTGTCTGTTTGTCTGTCAGCCTGTCAGTCTGCCTACCTGCCTGCTATCCTTCCTGCCTGTCTGCCCACCTGCCCGGCTGTCTGCTTACCTACTTGCCTTCAGTTGTGCTTGTCTCCTTCTATATCCCTATTATTTCTACTCCAACTATTGTTTCCGCTCTATAAAACCCTGGTGGTTGCTTAGAGATTTTATTTAATCCTTCCTTACATGACCTAGTCGTGTGTACGTAACATGAGACTGGGTCTATACGAATACCCGCCACCCTCTAGATCGGTCAAATTAAATAAGGCAGTAAACTCACACGATATTGGACAGGTCGAGCTTCTTCTCAGGTGTGTCGGGAAACCTCGGTATGTCCTTGTCCTTGGAAGGAACGCAGCGGAATGACTTCCTAAGAGAATGGCTGAGCTGTTTGGCTGGCGATTTCTGCGACGTAATAGGAAATTTTGCAAGGTGAATGTACACAATTTCTGCCCGTTGCTAGGCTGCAGTTCATCGGCATTTTAGTTACACAAGCAATTGCATTTTTTTGTCGTGATGTGTGACGTCAGACGTTTACCTACTATAATGAGGAGCATCGTTCTGTTTGTTTGAGAGAATTGTGTATGAGAAGATGAATCACACAGTGTCGAATGCAATGAGGATAAGACGGAAATTCAATTTAAACATAGCCATTTATTGTTCACGTTCTACTCATCCACACCGCAGGCTAGTAATAGTTCCTGCCTCGCCACGAACCCCCCAGTGCTCATGCTGGACCGTGCTGCCATCTTCCGAGTACCAATGAGCACTATGTTTAGTAACATGATATAGAGTACCGAAGTGATGACGTCACGGTGGCATGACAACGAACCTACTGGTTCTACACAATCATATGCTCTGCTAACATTAACTGCGTGTCAGGTTTTGTACCCGATTGTAACCATCATTCTGAGAGTCATTATTGCCGTTTTTATAGATTTCCAAAGGATGGAAGTGAAAAGCAACGAAAAATAATAATAAATTAACAAAAATTTTTTTTTTTTTCCATTTATTAAATATTGTAAGATCGACTTGCTACCGATGCTTTACCGCTGGCTGCAGCGCACACACTCGTGTTTTACGTACGCACAACATTTTCACGCAGTTAATATTATGGAGCCAGTGGCTTGTGTAGAACCAGCCCGTACGTTGTCTTGCCAACGTGACGTCACACTTCGGTACTTTATGACAGTGTATACAATCTGCGTTCCGCATTGCGGATTCCATGTTTTAGTAACAACCTGCTAGGGGCGCTACCAAGGAGAATAATAAATGGCAAAAGCCGCCTAGATTTGATTCGTGTTGTTTATTGGTTTAATGCGTGATCATCGAGGCCCAGAGGGGAGATAAACCCTAAAGTAAGTGATTTACACGTGTTGTACTAGGAGGGAAAGACACGTGAAAGAGGAATATGATATACTGTTACCAAGCATAGTCTGGATACAATGAAACGTGGAAATAACACTGCCAACGCACAGAATTATTACCAGACACTCAGTGAGGGTTAATGTATGAAACTCTCCGAATGCGACTATAAATTCACTTCGTCGGTTGTGCTAAAGACAGCAGGGAAAGAAAGATGAAAGCGTAACTTACATAGGATGAGTATTCCTTCACTTCGTGGTCATTGGTGTGGGTGCCGGTGATCTTTCCACGCCAGAAGCAATCCTGACAGAGCTGCATGTTATAGCAGCGCTGGCACTTGTAACGAAAGCCCATAAAGGACTCACGTTGGCACACATCACACATCACTGGATGGAATACTGTGGAAAATCGAAAACTGCATGAGGCGAGAGGGTTTGTAGCTCTGTTACTGGTGCTGGTGACATTGCTAGTAGTAAATGGATGATGGTGCTATTTCTGTTGTTGCTTGTGCTACTGATTACTAATATAAAAGCTCTAACAATACAAATGTATGTGCTGTTGTTGTTGTTGCTGCTGCTGTTGTTGTCGTCAACATCATTTTCGTTTTCCATCCTGCCATGCGGCTTTGCCACCCACCCCCAAGGCAATGTAAGTTATAGCTATGCCCTTGACTATAAACTGGCTACCATTGACATAGAGATTAAAACAGTTGTAATTTCATACAATGTGAATAACGTTAGTCATCTTGTATGAAATTACAACTGTTTTAATTTACCTGTGTGAGGGTACGTACCTGTGTTTTACGGGTGTTGCTATCCCCCGGGCGTGGAGGGAGGGTCACGTGATACAGTTGACGTATACTTCAAAATCATTAATCATCCGGTAACACTAACTACAATACCTCCAACGTTAACCATAACACTAAACATATATATAGGGGAGCGCTATATATAGGTCCACAAATCCACAAAAATTAATCTATGGTGTGGGGACAGATATCATGATGCAAAAACCCTAACCCTAACCCTAACTCTAACCCTAACCCTAACCCTAATCCTAACCCTGACCCTAACCCTAATCCTAACACTATCCTAACACTAGTGCTGCCACGTTGCGGTAACCTCCCTCCACGCCCGGGGGATAGCATTACCCAATCCTAACACTATCCTAACACTAGTGCTGCCACGTTGCGGTAACCTCCCTCCACGCCCGGGGGATAGCATTACCCGTGTTTTACTCGTACTCACACTCACCATTCTCTACATTGGCCATTCTGTGCAATAGAGGGAGCCACAGTAAGCATTGTGGTCCTGGATCTGACATCAATGTATCCAGAAAGTCGTTCACAGTGATTCGGTCTTTCTGCAAGTAAATCAACACTATTAATTATAGAAAACTAGCAGAAAGTATACCCGTAGAACCAGCAAATGTTGTCTTTAAATATAAACTCCATGTAAGTGACACAGATAAAGTTAAATATTTCATGTAACTGAAAAGGGAAAACCACGCACTGGTACAACAGAACACTGGCCACAGGCTAACTGCGCCACTTGACTACTGTGTCAGTACGGGTGCTACGTCAACAGGGCCAGACGTAGCAGTGGGCGAATCTCGCAGTAGGGGGGGATCTGAGACGTAAACAACCACTAATTGGTCAGAATAGATTTGTTGACCAGAACATCTCCCAGACGCTGGTCGATTTCTGAATCCAGGCCATACGCAGCAAGTCAAAACGCAGTTGCTAATCTCCCACGTGATGTGATGTGATCTGCTGTACGCACTGCCATCTATATACGAATAGCATTGTTCAATTTTTGACTTAAGTACTATTAAACTTTTTAAATTTTTTTTCTGCAGCCAGAACCATCTCCCAGACGTGGTGATTCTGAATATATATTCAGTGACCGCGATTGCATGTGACAAATCATGGCGAAAGCGGAGGACAACAAAACAAGACACAAAAACACACACACACACACACACACACACACACACACACACACACACACACACACACAAGATTAGCCAAATTATAGTATAGATACATGACATACATGACTGCTACACTCAATCACAGCCATTCCCTCACGTTTCAGACGCACGTGTTTGCACTCTAGGTTTGTTATTAGAAACATGACGATCTCCTTTGATATCATGATGACATCATTAGCCTGAACAATGGGCAAGCCACACTTGTCTAATTGTGATGCTGCATCCCTGTTCAACCTGACAGTGGCACGTGATTTAATGCACGGAATCTAGAAATAATCCGCCCTTTAGTGCAGTAGCTTGCTCGTTACTGTGCTAAACTTGCGCAGTTTCATGGTCGTAAATTGTCCACGAATGTTAGGACATCGCCAACAGCTCTGACACAGCGTTTTTGTTTTGTAAACCTGGATAATGACAAGAGCGTATAAAGAAGGAGAGCGTACAACGGTGAAATGCTGAAACCATGTTGCAGTATTAGTCGAATTAATAAACTTTCCCCGTTTTGTTTTGACTATTCCTGATCAGTACGGCAACTTCGGCAGTATTATTGATCAGCTGTCCTACCTTGTTAATATAAAACAAACCGCATGTCCCTACGATGCCCCTACGCTGAGATAATGAGCAGCGAAAATACCAGATTTTCACCGCTCATTATCTCAGCG